TTGCAATGACCTTGGTAAAGTGTTTTCGTATACCCCAGGTCAAGAGAAGTATGACATAAATGATGGTACGATAATAATCTCGAATTTATTGAGTTGACCAATGTTGGACCTGCGAGGAAAAACTTGTTAGCTTTTGGACACAAGGAGTGAATAACATTAAATTCTTTAAAGGTTGCTTTGGAATGATTTCAGTGGAATTAATGTATCGATTATTCCATAAGGATATTGTTATTAATTATTATTACGACTTCTTAGTTGATTTGAGTAAAAGATTGGTTATATATGGCAAGTTCACGCAACAAGGATGTCAATAAGATGGAAGTGTTATGGTCTAACCAAGGATTGAATTAGAAATGAATGACTTAAGTTGTTTGAGTTGAAACGGGTTGAGTTGAGTTACGGGGTCGTAACTCTATTTCTTTAAGGGGGTAGAGTGCGGTAGAACTTCGCGCTTTTTCCATTAATTTTAGTACTTTTTGTGCCTTTTTCAGTCAGTTTTGCACTAACTTTGTTGTTTTGTTTGGATACTTTATACACTAGTTTGTGTAAGTTTGTGTTTAAGGGTATATATTACACTGTAGTTGGTGTAAATTTGGGAATAAATTCGTTATCTTATACACTAAATTGTGTAAGTTGGTTAATGAGTTGGTTACTTTGCACATTTTTTTTTTGGGAATGAGTAGATGAGGTATTTATAAAGTATCAAAAAAGTACAACAACCAAAAATATCAAGGAAATTTTCAGAATTTACAAACATTTATTCGTTTTCAAATGAGGTTTTTCTAGTTTTGGTACTAAAGTTTCGGGGACGAAACTTCTTTTAAGGGGGGTAGACCGTAATACCCCGTACTTTTATGTATTTTATCAATTATTTAATTTATTTATAAAATATATTTTGGGCCTAATTAATTTATTTATGGGATTTAAATAAATTAAGTTCTATTTTTGGTCAAAGGTTACAAAATGATTTGACTTGATCGAAGTATCGTATGTTAAATGTATTTACATACTCCATAAAAAGATAGTTCATGTCCATTTAATTAACCTAATAATCTTACTTATATAATTAGGCCTCATACTTTATTACTTATGCCCATCATTTTTATGAAGCCTAAACCTACCCTAACCTACTATACACTATAAATACTTCTTCAATCCCCAAAATTTTTCCCACACAAAAGTCAAGTGGTCAAAGTGAGGTATTTCTTATTCTTTTCTTTATTTTTTCCCTTTTTCCTTTCTTTTTTCTTTTTTCTCACCTTTCCCCCTTTTACTCCTTCCTACGTGAAACCATGGAGTTCCCTCCATGCAAGCTGCTACCCTCCTGGTGCCACGTCATCACCACCACCACCGCTGATTCCAGCAACGACTAGCCATCGACGAGCCCAACCAGCCACGACCGCCCTTCTTCTTCTCCTATTTTCTCTTCTTGTTTCAACAAGTACATGTACTTATATGGTTATGTAAGTAGTTTATGATTTTAATTATTCAAGTATGATTAATTTAGATTATAACTAAGTTTTAATTGGGTTAAATCATAAATTTCAGATTATTACACTTGTTTTAATTTTCTGATTTCATGATGTTTCAAGTTAGGGTTTTCTAATCAATTAATTTGGGGGTTTTGAATACCTATTGATTTTATGTATCAATCAAGTATAAAGATGGAGTTTTGATGAGTTTTTAATGAGTTTTAATAAAGTATTATTGTTGTAATTTTATTTGAAGTAGTGGTTTTGTGATTTTAATGAAAGGGTTTAATTACCAGACAACATCCCCACATTAACCACCAGCACCTCCAATTTGCACCACAATAGGCACCAATTTGAGCGATCACACGCAATTCGCAGCAGCAGCTACAAAAAATCAACCTCACAACCAGCGCCGCTCCATAACCACTCTACCAGCATCCCAATTTGACCACAACACTCAATTCGAAGCTGGTAGCAGCACCGCTTCTCACCTGCAAGAAATATTTTAGCCCAATTTCAGATTAATTACGGAGTGGGCGCTTCAATTTCTTGAAGCGAACGCTCTTAAATCATTCAAATTTCAATCTTGAGGCAGAATGTTCAAAGCGATCGCTCTGAAATCTCGAGCGGTCGATCCATCATGGGTTTATTTTCCTTAACGCTAAGTCCCTGTTACTCAATGTGAGTTACAAACTTGTTACTCACAGTGGCAATTCGGAAATTAAATGGAAGTTTTCCACTTGCTGAGCTAGAATCGTCTATGTGTCAAGCTGCTCAGTTGGATTTATCTATGCCATCCTTCCGTCAATCTGTTGGAGTGATGGCGTTAACTCCTTTCGGATTTGGCGAGAAAATATTAGTTATGTTCTTCACAGATCGCCAAACTGTACAAGCCCAGTTGATAAAACACGCAGCTTGTTCGGAGAATTAGATCTATTCTTCGCACATCGCCGAATTGTACAGGCCTAGTTGAAAAAAACACGGACATCTTCGAATTGCGAGGTATTTTTCTGATCTATTTTATCGTTGCTTATTGCAGTCTTCAGTTTTGTTCTGTAGTTATCATGCGCCCACAATTCATGAAATTGAATTCATAAATTCGACCGAAGTCGGAATAATTTTGAAAGCTATTGGATTTTAAGGACCTTTTTGTCTGTTAAAATGGGGTTGAGGTTGCCGGAAATGGCCGGCGAATTTTGTTTAAAATGCAATTCCTTACTTTTTGAGAACAACGTGTTGTCTTTATATGTTTATATTAAAAATTCCTTGTGTTGATTTGTTAGTTTATGTGAAGATTGGTTGTGTTGGTTGTTCAACTGGTTGGTTGATTTGTGTCGGTTGGTTGTATTTCTGTGATGGGTTGAATGTGTGTTGTGAAAACGTGTTTGGTTGATTTGTGTTGAATTTAATATTATAATTATGTTGGCGTTCTGGATCGTAGTAATTATGTTGGTGTTCGTTATTTGAAGGGTGAATTGTTGTTGTTGGAGAAGATCTTGCTATTATGGAAATTGAAACAGGAAGCGTTATAAGGTTCAGTGAGGTTGGTGTTGGTGATTGTGGCAGTGGAGTTAAGTTTCGGAGGAAAGTCCATATGGAGGAGGATATAGAAGACGTAGATGATGCAGGTAGTTGTGCACTTGACATGTATGTTGGGTATTTATCCCCACCAGAAACAATTCATACGACTCACACTGTGGTTGGTAGCAACGAAATAGCTATAGTTGTTGAGGAGCCTAAGGAAGGGATGGTTTTCCAGTGTTGGAAATAGGTTGAAGCCTACTATAAGGACTATGCTGAGTAGATGGGGTTTGGAGTGACAAGGGCTCAAGGTGTAAATTCTAAGACGGGGGACCCAAAAAAAATCAAAGTCACGTGGAAGTGTGAGTGTTGGGGAAAACCCGACATGAGGGCTAGGAGGGTAGCGAAGAAGAGGGCAAAGGCAATGAGTCATGGAGGTTCAGGTGGTTTAGTTGATGGGGTGGTATGTGCGGATGAATTAAGTGGTATGAAGAGGACTTCGAAAAAGTGCGAATGTCAGGCCCGTGTTTATGCTAAAGTTAACGAAGATGGCTTGTGGGAGTTGAAAAGTTCGTAACTAAAGCATAATCACACTATTGATCCGGAAAATTATAAGCTTGTAAAGGAGTACCGCATGAGGCAAATGACCTGCAAAGGGAAGAAGACGCTGACAGATTTGTACGAGCAAGGTGTACCAATTTCTCAAATACACGGTATCATGGCGACCGAACGAACGGGTAACATGGATCTGACATTAAAAGATTTACAACATGAGGTGTACAAGGCTAGGTGGTTGAACATGGTTGGAGGGGACTCGGTGGCAATGATGGAGTACTTTGACAAAATGCAAACCGGGAACAAAATTTTTTTCCATGCTCAACGGTTGGATAAAGAAGGGAGGGTTAAGGATGTGTTTTGGGTGGATGCAAGAAGTAGGGTAGCTTATGAGGACTTTTGTGATGCAGTTTTCTTCGACGCAACATACCTAATGAATGAGTATGAGCTCCCGTTTGCGAACTTTGTTGGTGTGAACCACCATGGGCAATCCTTGTTGTTGGGATGTGCTCTTGTTTCACATGAAGACTGCGATACGTTTGCGTGGATATTTCGACAGTGGTTAGCTTGCATGAACAATCGAGCTCCTAAAGCCATATTGACCGACTAAGCGGCAGCTATGCGGAGGCCCCTTGCTGAAGTCTTGCCAAACACGGTGCATCGTTGGTGCATATGGCATATCATGAGCAAGATCCATGAGAAACTTGGCAAGTGTGCACGGTATGTTGTGAAATTCCTCCTCCTGAATTTACAATTTCCAAGGTCTTGATATTAGTTTCAAAGGCGTAATAATCTGATTCCCATAATAAAGACAAGCTAACCTATTGTTGCTGGTCTGCTGTTATCATTTTTGTCTAGTTACCAAGAGTTCGTCAACCCCCTCAAAGAGCTGGTATATGAGAGCTTTGACCCCGAGGAGTTCCAAACCCGATGGGCAGAGTTTATTGCTGAGTATAAGTTGGAGGACAATGAATGGCTACAGAGCCTACACAAAGACAGTCATATGTGGGTGCCTGCGTACATGAAGGAGTTTTTTTGGGCTAGTATGAAGACCACACATAGGGTGGAGAGCGTCAATCGGTTTTTTGACGGCTATGTGAACCGCAAAACAAAACTCCATGAGTTTCCTCAAAAGTATTGCATGGCCTTGGATCAACGCGTTCGAGATGAACTGAGTGCAGATGCGCGTTGCTCGAAGTACCTTAGGAGGTTGGTTAGTGGATTCAAAGTCGAAAAAATATTCCAAAAGTTATACACGGACAACAAGTTTCAAGAAGTTCAAAAGGAGTGTACGAGAATGATGTATTGCAACGTCCGAGGAGAGAAGGTTTTGTCTGAAAAGCTTATTCAGTATTCGGTGGTCGATCGTGTATGAATAGTACTTGGCCTCCCGGTGCGAGTGAGGATGTCATTATAAACACGCGAAGATCTTACAATGTTACTTTATGTCCAATGACAAAGGAGGTGCAGTGTGACTGTAGGAAGTTTGAGACAAGTGGCATACTTTGCAAACACTGTATTAGGATTTTGGATGAAAACTTAGTTGAAGATCTACCAGAGAAGTACGTTGTAGACCGTTGGAGGAAGGACATACCTCGGAAGCACACTAGGGTGAAGGTGGCCTACCATGATCCAGGGGACACGGTCAATGTGAAAAGATTCAACCAAATGATGCAAAAACTCGAGCCCTTGTGTGAAACCGCTGCTATGGTGGACGATCAAACCGTCCATATGGTAATTGAAACACTGTTGAAGCTACAATCAGCTGTCAATGAGCGTAGGGACATGAAGAGCAAGGAAATTGTTGCTGTAGTCAGTACACTGACATCAACCAGTGAAGGCAAAACGTTTTCCTCAATTAGGAATCCTGCTCCTACTGTTACTTCCGTAGACTCTTGTCCGACTTCCATGGACCTTGTTATCAAGGACCCTATAATTAAGAAAAGGAAAAGGGGCAGGCCTAAGGTTTCAAGGCACAAGACTTTAGCTGAACCCGGCTACAAGAAAACCAACAAGAATAAGAAGCCTAGCCCAGTTAAGATTTATGCTTTCTTCAATACTTAAAGAATCTGACTGCTCAGCCTGTTATTATTTTTTGACTGCTGTTATATCTCTATCTAAATAATACAGGAGCAAGTAGGAAATGTTGTTGAGGAGGATGCAGCAAACTGTGTTCAGGAGGATGATGGAAATGGTGCTGAGGAGGAGGATGGAGCAAATGGTGTTGAGGAGGAGGATGCAGGAAATGGTGTTGAGTAGGATGCAAGTGTTGAGGAGGAGGAAATGGTGTTGCAGGATCTTGTGTTTAGGAGGATGCAGGTAAAGGCCGGATTGACAGGAAATGGTGTTGTGCAAGATGCAGGTGTGTCGGAGGATGAAATGGTGTTGTAGGATCTTGTGTTTCCGAGGAGGCAAGAAAAGGAAGGAATGGCAGGAAATGTTGTAGAGCAGGATGCAGGTGTTGAGGAGGAAATGGTGTTGCAGGATCTTGTGTTTAGGAAGACAACAAAGGGAAAGGGGAAGGCAAATATGTCTTCTCGGAAGCTACATGTAAGTATGAATACTAAATTCATGTGATTTTACTTCAGTGATTATTTCACATTTAACCCATCACACCTCTCATAGGTGATGCAGAAACGTCTTGATGAACTAATGGCCATATCGTGAAAATTTGAGCTAGCTAAAGTAACTATCATTTACTTGAATATTTGTGTGGTTGGCGATTCCATATTAGTTGCGTCATTAAATTAATATAGGATGATCAAGAAAATATAGCTTGAGCATATCTAGGCCGCTCGTTGTTTGTTTGAGCATATGAAGACAGATTACGGGGGCGTATTCTTTCCAACGGTTTGTAAAACTGTTAAGCATTTGAAACATGTAATTAAACTCATCACATTTGTGTTTGAGATCATTTTCAAGGCGACAAATATATATACACACAAAGGTCCAAGGTCTTGTAATCCTTTTCAAAATACACAGACAACAGTTCAAGGTCTTGAGATCAATTTCAAAAACCGATACTTTTTAAAAGACGATGCTTTGAGTATGTCTGATTTGATGCTTTGAGTATGTCTGATTTTCATGTGTTAACATGTAAACATGTAAAAAGAACAGCAGTAAAAATAGAAGCAAAATAAGCATAACATAGTACACCTCAAAATTGAGGATACTATCAAGTGCAGAGAACACAAACTGATCAAGTTCAAACAGCACAAACCATATTCCTACAAAGACAATAGAATGTAAATGACAATGTTCAAATTGTTTGTCAGGCCCCACATCACAGTCGTCGCGCTGTTTTCCTAGTCCCTGGAATGACATCTCCCAGACACTGTTCCAATTCGTTCACTTCACACTGCACGTCGTCCAAGATTAGATTTGCCCGAGCAATAGGAATCTTCCGCTATAAAAACAGAACAGAACAAACACTTTAGCCAACCATTCCAGAGATCTTCACACAAAACACAGATATATACACCACCTACCACACTGAACCCCGTGGTGAATCTTCTAGCAAAGAACTTAATACACGCCAGCATAAGAACACCATAGTATGAGCTGCATATTAGAGGACAACAATCAACATGAAAGCTGAAGGTACGTTCTCCTGACCTTAAAGGTAGGCAAATAGTCATTGGCACAATAAACAAACCAGGGAACACAAGTTCTTACTTATCCGTTGGGTTCAAAATCTCAACAGTGCATTTGGTCCAAGACTGTAGGTGACCAACCTTCCATGCTGGGTTACAGAGTTGGAAAAGGACGTCCAAGCCACTAAGTTGTAGTTTGACAAACACATTACACATTACTAAATGGTCCCAATAAATACCATGTTTGTTTAGAATGAATGTCATCATTAGTACTAGAAGATCAATCTCCCTGACATGTGTGTCGAACGGCGCAGGGTACATGGAATCTATCAGCCACAACTGTTGAGCCTTCATGTGTAAAGCTAAGCACCACCAGTGCGAATCTCCTTGGGAATCCTAAGGAACTTCGAGGACTGGGACAAAAACCTGTTTAAATGCCAATGTCAATGTCGTAAGCACAAGTTAGCGCATATGCATGGAAAACACATTTAAACCTGCATTATATTATTGGACTATGTGAGTAAGTTGCTGACCGCTCGAATATCCAACAGGTTAGAGCTGATGAGAGATTTGGCATACTTCCTACAAATATTCTCTTCTTTACCTTCATTCAACAACAGTCGATTCTACAATCCAAATAATAAAAACAAGAAGCATGATAATCATCGATGTGAACGTAAATATGTCACCCCAATGGTTAACTGAACCTTGAACCACTTACCGAAAATTTTGGGTCAAGAAAAAAACGCTTGCTTCTGTTCAGAAAATCTTTGGTGGCCCATTGCTTGGTGTAAAGCACACTGGCCATTCTAACGTAGTTAGTGGAAACCCAAGATTTATTGTGCACCACTTCATAGCAATCCCTCTGGCTGGCTTCCATGTGATCACACTTTATCTTCACCATACTACGGCTATGTGGTGAACCATCATCATAACACCAAGTATGCACATAAAAATATTAGAATTTAAAATTAATACAAAAACTTTGCAAAAGGCATGCACAATAAACAGACTTTTCACACTCAAATTCACTTTTTTAAATTACCTAAGTGGATCCTTCAGGTCCTTCCACTACTTATCAAACTGTAGCAGACGTGTCTCCAACGCTGTATGGTGACGGGTGTTTGACACATTGGTGAGCATGGCTGACAAGGCTGCCTCGGTTGGTTTCACCACCCTCCCATCAGCAGCCTCATCTTCCACATCAAATTAAGATGACCTTTCCAATCTGCACCGAGCATCAACCAAGACAGTCGTTCCCCTCGTCCCAAGCGAGCATACAATAGTTTCAGGTCCACGCTCCACGTTCACATCTTCCTCTTCATGATCAGAAAAACAGACATTTAACTTTGACAGAAGACCGCTGTCAGCCCCAGTCACCTTGGATTCATCCCCTAACACGTTTTCCACAGCCCTAGCCCGTGCAACCAGTGCATCCACCGATAAATTTCAAACCAAACCGTCCAGGTCCTCGTCACTGGAAATAGCATGGGCGTGTTGGTCTTCCCTACCAACTACGTTTTCACCTTTTTCTAGTTCTGTCTTCGCCAACAAACAACTGGCCAAACCCTGTTCTTCATGCACAACACTATCCTTCTCCGTTCTCCTATCCCTCTCGATTGCCTGCCCCCTACTCGCCCTTAAGGCATTAGCTACGTCAACACACTGCGACATCAGCTGATGCATTTCTTTCATAACGTCAGCTAATTTATGATCTATCAGGGCCACCACGACGGGAGTTATGTTATCCAACACCTTCAAGAGAGCATTAGCACAAACTATTAACAGCTGCCATAGCACATGTCACTTATTTTTATACATTACAGAGCTACGTATGTAAATATCGTTGACTTGGATTATACCTGCTGCGTAATATTCTCTGGGTCTACCTCCCGCGTAGTCCGTTGCACCTCTATGCTTTCCACCCTTCGCTTTTGACCCTCCTGAGGACTCAACGGATGCGGCTCCCCATACGCTACATCCAGCGACTGAAATTGAAGCAAACACAACAGGTTCAGCAGGGATGTATTCCCGTCAAAAGTAAGTCAAACTGATACTAACCTGCAATTTCCCGAAATCCCCAGATTTTTTTTGTCATCGCCAACCGCCTCATTGATCTTTTCTTGGTACCATGCCTCCAGTCTTGGTCTCACACCCCACCTCATTGGTACGCGACTGAGGTGATCTAGATAAAAAATCTACAAATAGGGAGACAGTAGAAAATTAGATAACATTACTAAAAAAATCCATTGATGTAGTGTGGCAATACCAACAATTTACTCACCAACAAAAAAAGGATACAACCCCCACAACCTGCTACATATCAATCACGAGCAAATTTCCTTTAGAAACTCCTCGCTGATGCAACCATCCACTTAAATACATAAGTTCACCAGTCATACTCATTGGCTTCATCGTAAACCAACAACGACGGTACAAGCTTCACTCCAAGGTAGCTTGTGTTTGCCGTAGCACACAGTATGCAACCAAGAGCCGCTATGAGAAAGGCTATTTTGAAATCAGCCTTCTCCTCATCCGAAAACGGCAACACATTACCTTCCCTATCCTGTCTAATCAGTGCCTTCAAAGCAGATACTAATGAAATGTGTTCTTCTTTCCAAACTTCTCCAAGATTCGGCTATGCTCTGCCTGCTTGTCCTCAGGAATCTTACACGGCAATTCCTGCGACCCCATGGGAATCCCAAGTACGTACTCAACCTGCACAGGACTCAAAGGAAGAACAGACTCATCTCCAAAAGTTATGGAACCATCAGCCATCACCCTTGTCAAGAGCCAGTACACAAACTTTCAGGGTACATAAGTCAGGGGAATACTTAATAACCCTCCAAAACCCATTTCTGTGACCACCTTCTTCCTAGAGTCATCAAACTTGTTCACTGCAGTTGCAAAAGCTTTCACACCATGCATATTTGGGGCCTAAAACAATACATTCAAACAAGTCAAATGACCGATTAAATTCCTTTTAAGTTACTGAAAATTCTTCAATTCCTTTTGTAGGTAGCCTCAAATTTTAACACTTCGAACAACATTACAACCAAAACTACATAAAAACTACTTAAAATCCCATTAAAAGTACTTGCGAAGTTGCGATTATCGTCGTCCAATGGAATTTAACCTTACTTACGGAGTCACATTAGTTATACTTAACTTGCAACTCAACTACAGTTTACAATTCATCTTTAGTAATCAAGTTTAATTACCATTCAACCCCCTTCACTAACCAAATGCCCAACCACAGAACTCACCAGACAATTTCGTGTCATGGATTTCATCAAATATAGTTCAGAGAGTACCTTCTATGTACTTCTTGATTGGGTATTTACGACAACCCCTTTCTCCTTCACCACGTCTCCCTTCGTCTTCTGGTCCTACACATGACATTACACATTTAATTTCTCCATCTAAGTGATACACAATCAATAAGCTTTCACTAATTTTATCCAACATGACATACCTGTAGCTTGCCCCTTTTTGTTGTCCGTCTCTCAAAATGACCTCGCTTGCGCTTCCCTTTGTCAACCTTTTCCCGCAATAACTTTATCAGGAAATCCTGGTAGCTCACTTTGTTCTGTTCTGGTTCGTCCTCACTACCTTGATCATCGTAGTCCACATCCTCATCTTCCTTATAATTAGCAGATGAGGAAT